CAGCCTCTACCTCCCACCCCCACACAGGGAGGAGTGCCATGATAGAAAACTTTTCTGAATAAGAATAAATAAGAATAAGAACAGCTAATGCAGAGGGCCTTGCTATCAGCCACCTCTGCTCTGAGCACTAAATGTCACTGGTGCCGACACTGAAGCCCCCTGTCCCAGCCACCATTGTCTCTGGTCCGGCTGGAGAAGTGGCCTTGTCTCTACTTACCCTTTTTGCTTTCCTCCCCATCCATTCCTCACACAGAATTTAGAGATCTCCTTCTAAAACACAGCTTAGATCACATCACCGTCTTATGGAAAAGTCCAGGGCCCTGCCGTCACATACAATATGCTGGCAGCTCAGAACCCCATCATCCTGTTCCCTGTGACCTCAGCTCTGTGCTCTCTCCCGCTCCTATGTTAGCATGTCAGCCAGGCTGGTTCCTTCCCTCTCCTGAGGCCTGGGACCTTTGCCTCTGCCTGGAACACCGTTTCCCTGATCTGTAGCCTTTTTTGGTCATTCTGCTATGCTGAGAGATGCAGAGACCAACCGAGACCACTGAAGCTGAATTAAGGGAGTCTTTATTACTGGCTGGAACTGCACAGAGTTAACACAGAACTCTAAATGTGCAGCCCTGAATCCAAGGATTTAGGGCTTTTTATGATGAGCAAGCAGACAAGTGGGCAGTACAGAGGCAGGATTGAGCTGTTATTGTAAAAAGACTACAGAGTGATAAAGAGAGCAGTCCTTATCCTGGCATGTAGGAAAACATTTGTTATTTTGAAGGTAAGGTTTAGGATTGTAGGGGAGTTTTAAGGGAATAGCCATTATCTCAAGGACAAAGTATGCAAACTGTGTCATAAATAACCATCAGCAGGGGTTATTAACCCTTTTCTTCTTATTTTTTTTTTTCCTTGCACCTGAGGATAGTCACTTAGCCCTCCCAGTGTAAGCCCAGAAGGTAAACTCTGGGTCAAGATGGAAGGACTAAGGCTAAATTCATGTGCAACAATTCAGGTCCCAAACACCAGCTCCTCTGAGGGGGGTCTTCCCAGGCCACTTGTCTCCTCCCTACCTCTGCCTACAGCCCTCTCGGCCATATCACCCCCATTTACTTCAAATCTTGTATTACTACTTTTGAGTGTACACGGTTTCTAAACTTTTTCCTGTAAATGCATTTGTTCACACCTGTTTCCCCACCTCCTAGAACAGTGCCTTGTCCTGATCTGGGACTCAATGAATGTTTTTTAGTCACTGAATGAACAAATGACCTAATTCTCACACAAACCCCACAGTGCATTTCAGTGATTCTCAACCATGACTGCTCATTAGAATCTCTTGGAGAACCTCAAAAAAATACTGATGCTTGAACGCTAGCACATTAGGTCCTAATTTTATTGGTCTCTATGGGGTGGAGTGAGTCTTTCTTTTTAAAGTCCCTTAGGTGATACTAATGTGTAGCCATCTTCACAGTAAACCACACATAAAATTATAACCATCCTGGCAGAAGGAATGTGACCAGGGCATGGCCCATCCATCAGAATTGCCACTTCACTCAAGCCCATACCTGCAGGAAGCCTGGTTATGCTCAGGCCCACTGGGGCTGAGCTGGGGCAGCAAACTCCAGGGCACTTGGAGGAGGGAAGTCGTGGCCCGAAGAACAGACTCCTGGTTTCCCTTTGTGACAGAGTAGGACGAGGAAGCCACTGGGTGTCCTAAAGAAATCCAGAAGCAGAAATGAAGACCCTTCCTGGCCACGCTGGGACTACAGCAGCCTGAGCAGCAGTGTTCCACATTCTGGGGTTCTGGAGACCAGGGTGGCCCTGGAGAAGAATGGCCATTGTTGGGTAAGGAGGCCCTGCCCTTGCTGAGAGGAGCTTGCCTAAGCACAGGGGTGGCGCTGGAGGTCACTGAGAGCACCAGAAACAAAACACACCCTGGCCGAGAGTGGCACAGGGGGACTCTGAGCTCTGTGTCTAAACATTGGAATTTGAATCCCAGGTCTGTCCCTAAACAGCTGTGTGGCCTTGGACATGTCATTCACCCTTTCTGAGGCTCCATTTTGTCATGTGTAAAATGTCATAGAATCCGCAGGGCTGTTGGAAGGGTTGAAGGAGCTGACATGGGCAAAGTGAGCTGCAAGGGACCCAGAGGGCAGAAAGCTGGCCCTAGTCCCTCCTCCTAGCCTCTCCTCCACTCCCAGCCCCAGCCACACTGGCCTTCTTGCCACGCCTCCAAGATGACAGTCAAGCTCCCACCTCAGGAGCACTTGTGGTTTCTGATGAGGTTTTGGGGTGATGGTGGGTTTCATGGGTTTCAGAGCTGACAGCCAGGAAAGATTTCTTGAAGATGTCTTTGGTGCAAAAAGGTGATTTTATTAATGTGCAAGGACAGGACCCATGAGCAGAAAGAGCTGTCCCTGACCCTGTGGAGGTACTGGTCATACACTTGGGAGTTCATAGGCTAAAGAAGACTCCCAGGATACTGGAGGCCTAGCTAATGTCAGCCTAAGGTTGTTTTTCCCTCCAGCAGAGCATTAGCGTTAAGACTACAGCAGGGAGTTCCTAGAGAAAAGTTTTACTCTGCCTGCCTCAAGTATTTGACATTGGGCTGCGGGTTCTATGGAAATTCAATTTTATCTGCCATTTCCTCTGCCTTTGTTTCCCATATCAGTTTCTTTTACACTCAGCTCTTCACTCAGGTGTATTCAGGTTTACTGTCTTATCTCCTGCAAGTCTTTGCTCACACATCACTTTCTTAGCCTGGACCTTTCCTGATCACTTCATTTAAAACCATTAACTTCCCCAGTCCTCTCTTTGGTACTTTCTCTTTCTAAGCTTTACTTTTCATTATAGTCCTAATTACCTTTTAAACTCCTTATACTTTACTTTGCCTAGCAGGTAACAGATGCTCAAAAAATGTTTGTTGAATGGCAAATGAAAGGCACTCATTGCTATTATTAGCCATAGCAGCAGAATTATTGTCAGAGTTTGCAGCCTCCAGTTCTTTGTGGCTGGATGCTTATCAAATACTGATGGATAGCAGTGAAATTGACTTCAGGTCACCTGTAAAGCAGGTTATCTGACCATTCACCTCCCTGAGAATAGAGAATGTACCTTTAGACCTGGCTGCAGATTTGCAGATAAGAGTGGTTGCCTGGGACCCATTAGAGGCCTGGGCAGGAAGTAGAATTTGAAGACCAAAGAGATGATTCCCTACGGACATGCTAGGTAGGGTGGGAGAGGAGCTGCCTCCATGGAAAGGGGAAATACTGGCCTGGCCAGGAAATAAGCTAGAGCCTCAGGGAACAAAGCATGGTGGAGGATGAACACCCAGTGTGATGCTAACCACTGCAAAGCAAGGCAGTGATGCCTAAGCATCCTCTCCAGGAGGTGCCCATAGCCCCTTTTCCATGGGAAGGACTTTGAGCCACTTCTAAGGCTAAGGAAGGAAGGTGATCTGAGGTCAGAGAATGTCACGGGTCAATTTGTACTTGCTACACATAGCAAGGTCTGGCAGACAAAAGATTTTCACTAAATAGTAGTTCTCGTTTACTCTTCATGGACTCAACAAGTATTTATTAAATTCCTACAGTGTGGCTGGGCACTGTTATAACTCCTGAGGATACAGCAGAAAATCTAAAATCTTTGTTCTGGTGGAGTTGATATTCTAGGGTGCATGTGGTGTGGGGAGGGGACAGACAGCAAAGTGAATGAATAGAAAATAATTGAATGGTGAGTAGGCTGAGGTGATGATTATATTAATCAGCTTAATTGTAGTAACCATTTATGTAATGCATATGTAGCATACCATAAATATATACATTTTTATCTGTCAATCATATGGCAATAAAATTGGAAAAAATGTTTTTTTATAAAATACATTGAATGTTGGAAAGTGGTAAACACAGTGGCGCCTGGGTGGCTCAGTTGGTTGAGTGACTGACTTTGGCTCAGGTCATGATCTCGCAGTTTTTGGGTTCAAGGCCCACAGGCTCTGTGCTGACAGCTAGGAGCCTGGAGCCTACATAGGATTCTGGGCTTCCCTCACTCTCTGCCCCTCCCCTGCTGGCAGTCTTTCTCTCTCAAAAACACACATTAGAAAATTAGAAAAAAGAAAAAAGAAAATGATAAACACTAAGGATGAAAATCAAGCAGAGAAGGGAGGTGAGAAATGTCAGATAGGACAAGGTTCCAGATGTGGTAAGGGCCTTGGCAGAAGGTACGCTGAGCAGGGTCTGTTGTGTGAGTGGTGAGGCAGTGAACCCTGTGGAAGGAAAGTCCTGGAAGAGAATCCAGCAAGCACAAGGCATGAAGCAGGGCTGGCTGGAGCCAGCTGGCAGGGGAACACCAGAGAAGGTTAATCAGGAACTTTGCAAGCTGGTTTTAAACTTTGGTTGCTTGAAATTGGCCATGGTGGTGATATTTAACCACGGATATTGGCAAACACTATAAGACATATTTTTTGCACTTGTTATCAGATTTCCAGTTTACCAGCAGCAGGGAGAACAAAGGCCAAGCTGGCCAGTGTGGCTGGAACAGAGCTAGCAAGGGGGCAGGAAGGGAGAGCCAGGAAATCATGTGGGGCCTTGCAGCTGCTTACAGGACTTTGGTTTGGACCCATAAGCCAGACAGGGAGGCATAGGAGGTTAAGGGAAAAAAAAAGCTTTTCTTTTTAGGTTTAATTTTACATGCCATAAAATTCATTCAAGTATGCCATTGTTACTATTCTTATTTTTTTAGTACATTTACAGGTTTGTGCAGCCATGAGCATAGTCTGAATCCAAAACATTTCTGTCACCTCAAAGAGATCCCCTGTATCCATTTGTAGTCACTGCCTGTTCACATACCCAGCCCCAGGCAACTACTGCTGTACTTTCTTGTCTCTTTGCTTTGGAGGGTTTGGAGCCGACCATTTACGTTACTGTCACTATTGTATCCTTTCTGCTAAAACCTGATAAAATTCATTTTCTCTTTTCAGATGACGTGGTGACCTGAATTTTCAGGGAAGACATTCCACCAGAGCTGGAGTTTACTCTCCCAGCCCTGGGAGCTTTGAGAAAAACTTGGCAGGGGCCACACTCAGGCTTAAAGCTTGCTGGCCAATTAAAGTCACCTTGTCCTCTGCTGCCTTTGGGCTCTGCCCTCTCTTGGCTGCATTTGGGGCCAAACTTCCCCGTGGGAGGCTGAGTCAGCAGATCGCCTTCTCCAGCAGTCCTGGAGGAACCTGAATGATTATAGGCATTAAGGCCTGTATTCCGCTGAAGCAGAACACAGAAGCCCTTTTGCATTTCTTGAGTGCTTGAGCAAGGTACTGTAAAGAGATATCTTTCAGGGGCAGGTATCAAAGGGGCATGACTGAAATGGCCTTGGGCCCTTGGAAGGAAAGCCTGGGAATTATAATTATCAGTTCTCAAGGGGCAGAGGAATCCAAGTGTAGGAAGCATAGGAAAAGGCTTGAGGCAGAGTTCAGGAGAGTTGAGGAATTGGGGGAAAGGGTCAGAGAGGGGGAGTCTGAGGCCACAGGGCTGGTGGCCACAACAGAGGCTGGGGCCTAGGCCTTTCTGGGAAATCAGACCTGCAAGTCACTTGTTGTCTCTAAGCCTCACTTTATCTGTAAAACAGAAAAATTAAACTTACATCATGGAATTGTAAGGATTTAAGGAAATAACATCTACAAAACACCTTCCAGATGCTTGCTAGGTACATGGTAAGGCTTCTGTAGTTGGCAGTTACAGTCGTTCTTCTCGTTACTATAAGACAAGTTGTTGGTTATTGTCTTAGTCTGTTTGGTAGCTGTGGTTTAAACATTTATTTGTCATGATTCTGGGGACTGGGAAGTCCAAGATCAAAGTGTGGCAGGCAGATTCTGCGTCTGGAAAGAGCCCTCTTCCTGGTTCACAGACGCCTATCTCTTTGCTTTGTCCTCACTGGGTGGAAGGGGCAAGCCAGCTCTCTGGGGTCTCAGGATCTAATCACCTCCCAAAGCCCCTCCACCTCCTGCTACCATCACATTGGGGGTTAGGATTTAATAAAAGAAGCACGGAGTGGGGAACTCAAACTTTTAGTCTCTGGCAGTTACATTACCATGTCCTGTAGTTACTATGATTATGACCAAGAGGGGTTTGGTGAAGAAACTGCTTCTGGGGATGCAGCCTCTAGGCTTCTGCTTCTCAAACTTTCAAGTGCACACAACTCGCTGGGGTTCCCATAAAGTGTGGAGTCTAATTCCACACGTGCAGGGTGCAGTCTATGGTTCTGCAGTTGTCCCAAGCCACCAGCTGATGCTGATGCTCCTATCCATTAGACCAGACTTTGAGTACCAAGACACTGAAGATTGTCCTGTCCAGTACGGTAGCCCCTATCCACTTGGAGCTGTTGAGCCCTTGAATTGTGGCTTATCCAAACTGAGGTGTGCTTGTAAGTGAAAAATACATACCGGATTCTGAGGACTTAATACCCACCCACCTTACCACACCAAAAGGTAAAAGACCTCTTTAGTAATTTCTTTTTACATTGGTTATGTATTGAAATTGTCGGATATAGCTGGTGTTGACCGAGAAAAGAGGCAAAGCTAAAATCAAAAAAGAGATATGTTTATTTGGGGTCTCAGAATTACCATTCAGAGAACACAGATTACGGCAGGGACCCAAGTAGTGCCCCACCCCACTCTAGGGACAAAAGGCAAGGATTTTTAAGGACAAAGGAAATGCTATGTATATTGCTAACAAAGAATTTTGATTGATGTTGACAGCAGAAAACTAATCTTGACTGAATATAATTGATTGCTAAGGCTGTCACTAAACAGAGTCTCTTACTATAACAGGTATGCAGGCTGAGTCCTTGGAATATTTGTGGTTTGGCCCGGTTCAAAAGTTCATGGTACCACTGGTGAGGTGAACACATTAAGGCCCATCTCCTGAATGGCCTCCAGGCTCATTTAAAAACCCATTGATGTAAATAATCCCAGCTATTCCACCATTCACACTGATTAAAATAAAATATTATAATTCATTTCACCCCTTTTTATTTTTTTGAATGAAGCTACTAGAAGATTGTACATTACAGGTGTGGCTCACAATACATTTCTATTGGGCAGTGTTGCCCTAAAGCCTTCCTTGTTTTTGTCAGGCAGGTTCAGGGTTTTTCTTGGGAAAGTAGGCTTCGGGAAGTGGGCTCTGAGTTCCTAACCTCAGACTGCCAGGGATCCACAGACAGTGAGAAGTGGATGGGATGGACCTCAGGCTCAGAGGGAGAAAAATGACCAAAATGATGTGTTGGAACTAAGACTGAGTTCCAAGACTCTGTTTACAGGTCAGTGTGTACTGTAGTCACCATCAGGGCTGATCACATGTTTCTTCTCAAGCTCAGTCTCTCCACAAAGCCCAGAATTCAGGATAATGCTCTATCTCTTCTCTTTGGTGACAGGCCAGAGGCAATAGCATGATGCCATGGCTAAGAGGACGGGTCCTCAAGGTGCTGAGAAGTGCCCGGGGATTCTATGGGCCTCCTGGGCAACCACCACCTCTCCCTGCCCCTCAGAAGATTGTGGCCACCTGGGAAGCCATCAGCCTGGGGAGGCAGCCAGTGCCTGAGTACTTCAACTTTGCCCATGATGTACTGGACTCGTGGAGTCAGCTAGAAAAGGTGAGGCCCACTGTGTCCTAGTGTCCATCTTGGGCATCACAGGCTGCCCTCGGGTACCCCAGTGTGGAGATTTTGACCTTGGAATTTTGCAAGTCCTACAACTTAAACAGTTAGCATTTAAGCCTTAGGGGGAAAAACTATGACCAAGTTTCATGAGCCTTAGACACCTTGCCCAGTCCCTGATGTGTCTCAAATTCCTGAACCCAAACCACATAATAAGACAGTTACGCCCCCTTTGGTTCCCTTCCAATCATTCTGATCCAGTGAAGGAGAAAGTGTTGTTTTAAATCCACTCTGTCGTTAATGTCTGTCTCACTGTTGTGGACTTCCCTTTTAAATAAGGAGAGAGGTTGGCTGAGGCTCCAAGCTTTTCACAGATCATGGCAGATATGTAGAATTGAATGAAGATTATCTCGATTCTGTGTGCACATGCTTCCTTCTTTATTTTCCTTTCTTAGGTGTCTGTTGTGTCTCTCTCAGCATTTTATACTTCACTTTTTGTTTATGTTAAAGGTGCTAACTTTGTATTTGTAGCATGAGAATATAAACTATCCCAAAGCAATTGGTTTATGTTAATTTTAAGAAGAATTTGTTTAAAGAAAAACAGTGAGGAAACCCAATACCATTAGTGGATTCAGTAAAAGTATACCGTTGGTGGGTATGGTAAAGCATGACGGTGGCTTTGCAGTTAGATAGACAGGGTTCATCCACTTGAAGTGTGACCTTGGATAAATGCACCAAGGTCTTTGGATACTTTTCTATATTTTTTCATGTTTAGATTTTTCATGTATAAAATGGGATTCATACCATCTGCCACTTGGGAAGCAAATGTAGACAAAGGAGCCGGGGTGCACCCTTCCTGTCCACAAAATCTAGGTTCTTTTGCAACCTGGGATTGTCCTTAGAAGATTCCTTTAATGATAAATACAAACAGGGTTACATCAACAAAAATTGTGGAATAAGGATTTGCTAAAATGTTATCCTCTATAAAACAACAACAATGAAAAACCTTAGAAAAATCATCAGCATCTACTTTTGAAAATTCTGAAAACTAACCAAAGGCTGGAATTGCTCAGGGAGTGTTTATTAGAGAAACACTCATTGAAGATTTGGATGAATCTCTATAAGAATGCTGCTGCGATACTACCTCATTATATGAAAATAACATATCCTCTGTGATAATTTTGGGAAAAGTTTAAAACACATCTGATGAACTTCAACTTTTAGGGAACAAGGACCACCAGAAAATGTTAGCCTTTACGTTTTGTATGCACTTAGCATATTACCTGAAATATGCCTTAAAAATTTTTTTTAATGTTTAATTTTGAGGGGGGGAGGACAGACAGATGCTGGTGGGGGAGGAGCAGAGATAGGCAGTGATACAGAATCTAAAGGAGGCTCCAGGCTCCGAGCTTTCAGCACAGAACCTCACGCAGGGCTTGAACCCATAAGCAGTGAGATCATGACCTGAGCTGAAGTCAGATCCTCAACCTACTGAGCTACCCAGGTGCCCCTGAAGACTGCCTTTTTAAAAATTGTACTGTACGGTTTTTAAATTTATTGTCCTTGAAAGCAGAAATTATAAAGTTGCAAGAAAAATGATAATACATCTCTAATTGATCTAGATACTCAGTGTAATCTTTATCAAAATCCCAGGGGATTTATTTGCTGAAATCTTATCCAAAATTCCATGTGGAAAGGCAAGGCACCCATAATAACCTCAACAGTCCTGAAAAAGAAATATAACTCTGAAGGACTCACACTTTCCTATTTCAAAACCTACTACAAAGTTACACGAATAACTGCATTTTTTTTCCTGTGTGAGGAAAAAAAAAGACAGTGTGACACTGGTATAGGGATAGATAGGGATGGATGGAATAGAATAGAGAGTCCAGAAATAAACCCATAAATCTAAGGTCAGTTGATTTTCAGCAGAAGTGCCAGGTAAATTCAGTGGGGAAAGAATACTCTTTCCAACTAGTGGTGCTGGTGCTGGTACATATTCTGATTCCATCCATATGAAATGTCCACAACAGGCAAATCCATAGAGACAAATGTAGGTTAGTGGTTGCAAAGGGCTACGGAGGGGAGAATACGAAGTGACTGCTAATATGTACAGAGTTTCTTTTTAGGTTGATGAAAATGTTCTGGAATTAGATAGTGGCAATGACACACCACTTTGTGAATACAATAAAAACCGCAGAATTATTTGACAGTAGTGAACTTTATGGTATGAGAATTATATCTCAAACAAGGGGGACACAAAACAGTGGGAATCATATGCTATCTTTTGCATAAAAAAGGTGGTATGGAACACAGATTATAATTAATGCTTGCTTAAATAAAGACTGGACAGATATGTAAGAAACTAATACAATTGGTTATTCATTGAGCAGGTGAAGTGAGGAGCAGCGTAGATGGGCATATGGATGGAAGTAGGCCATCCAGTGCATCTTTCCATATTGTTTTGAATTTGAACACTGTTGAACACTGTATGGAATTTGAAGACTATTTAAACAGAATTGAATAAAACAACAGCAAGCAAACAAACATCTTCAACAAATGTTTTCTATTTCTTTTCTGCCTACACTGTCATCTAGGCTGGACACCGGCCCCCGATCCCTGCATTCTGGTGGGTCAGTGGCACAGGAGCAGAGGTCAAGTGGAACTTTGAGGAGCTGGGGGAGCAGTCCAGGAGGGCCGCTAATGTGCTCAGGGACATGTGTAGCCTTCAGCCTGGAGACAGGATGATGCTGGTGCTCCCACGGCTCCCAGAGTGGTGGCTGGTCAGCGTGGCATGTATACGGACAGGTCAGTGAGCAGGGCTGAGGCTACCCTTTGGGCCCGACACACCTGCCAGAAGGTTTTGCAGAGTCCACATGGTTGGGAGACGGAGCAAAGTGAACTTTATGTGGAGTTGTACTTACTTCCCCTTTGCCCAACAGTCACAAACTTGATCGAGCACAGGGGCCAGGTAGTAATGTAATTGAGGCAAGCAGGTCAGTGTGTGGCAGTGGCGAGCACTGGGGCCTGCAGGAGAGTGAGCTCACATGGCTCATCAAACAGGGCAGCTGCTTCTCAACCCCAGCCAGATGTTTCCATGTGTGAATGAGGGTCAGTGTTTCCAGCACTTCTATCTTTGTAATAGAAAACTCTGGATTTTTATGGGGGAAAATAAAACTGTTGAGAATGAAATAAACTAAAAAAGAAAAACAAAAATCTAAGTGAACAAACCAAACATACTTTTTTGGGGTCATGGTTTGGAGCTGCCAGCGTGTAGAGGGTAATGCAATTTTGCATGAGAGACCTTCATAGTCAGTCTACATTAGATTCACTCTTAGACCTTATGGCTCTCACCACCAGAGCATCTACACTCCTAAGGGAAGGAAGAGAAGGACAAAATAATGAAAGCAATGAGATTACCCTTGAGGGTTCTGCCTCCTGCTCTTATGAATGTCCAAGGCAGTGGACATTGATCTGCTTGGGGTGATCCTTCCAACACAGGAGCAGAGGAGGAACAGGACACTGTCCATAGAACTCAGAGAGCCTCTGCTGACCCTCTGATGCTCTTATTGAAAAGGCTGGAGTTTTTATGCTGATTTTACAAAGGCAAGACAACTCCTTTTGGTGGAGAGCTGGTTTCTCCACCCACTGGGAACTTTCCACCACTTGAAAGGCTGTCCACCCCCTCCACTTCTGTCCTTAGATTACTCTGAAATAAGGATGGGTTTTTACAAATAATGTTTGCAAAACAGAAGGATACAAACTCACACCAGAGAATTAGCTTTTCTAAACAAACAAGTTTAGTCAACCATTTTGTGAATGGATTGTCAAAAAAAAAATAGAGGCAGGAACTTACTTCTACTCTATTTTTATATATTTTTGCACAATATATAAAAATGAGCACCATTATGGTACACCCAGTTAGAGGAAGACAAACTGGCACACAGGTTTCGGGAATTCTCCATATCCTGCCATGACATATAAGATTTATTTAAATGAGGGCCAAAGTAAAGGAGCCCTTGTGTTTTCTTGAGGACCTACTATCTGTCAGGCACCTTGCATGATCAAAACTTCCTTATGGAGTATTATTTTCATAATTTTTCCTGTTACCTAAATGTCCCTTTTTTCCCCTTTTTGTGCAGATTCACCCATTTCTTTAATGTCCAGATAAAATAATTCAAGACTCTATGGCACATGACCATGTCAAGTTCCACATCATCTCCAACACTTTAGAGGATACCCAAGCTGGATGTCCTTATATTCCCACATTGCCGTGTTCTCCTGATAGGCACTTATTACTGATCCTCTAGTCTATGGTGTTAGACTCATTGCTCTTGCTGACATCCCCAGCTGTCCTCCATCTTCCTGGGCCCCCAAAACACTACACACAACTGCAGGTGGGACAGACTTCTTCTCGAAATAGCTAAACCAGAGGGATGAAGTGAAGAAATACCATTCACCTCCCAAAGTGTTCATGCTGGGTTTTAAAACCTGTAAAAGTATAGGAGATAATGCAAAGAGTAGTGAGAACTTTGGTTTGGCTCCAACACCATTTGGGATGGAGCCCTTCCTCTGTCTCCTGTCCTCACTCACTGGCCATAGCAGGATGACTGATTCTTTTAAGATCTCTTTCTTGTCATCTGCGAAACAAGAGTGCTGGGCTCAATGGGCTGTTTACAACCTGCATTCTGAGAGACTCAGGTGGCTTTTAAGTGTCTGATTAAAATTTGTCCGTTTTCTGCTTCCTCATCCCTTCCCCTTGGGAAGAGATGGACTCAGCTGCCTTCCGAAGTGACTTTGGTTGACGTTATACAAGCTCCCACCTACTATATCACCCTCCCATCACCTACCTCAAGAGACCCAGCCTCACCACTGGAATTTGTTGTAGGCTTTTGTCTGAAGGTGTGGCAAACCCAAGAGCTAGGTCATCTCCAATGCAGCATAATACAGTGTTGGAGATCATGGACCCTTAGGTTTACTACCTCTTAGACTCACAATCCCAGTTCTGCAACATGTTAGCTGTGTGATCTTGGGCAAGTTATTTCATTTAATTAAGGCATAAGGGTCTAAGTCTTAGTTGTTGTTGTTGTTGTTGCTGCTGCTGCTGCTGTTTGAATCTGCAAAATAGGTATGATAATACTACCTACTCTCCAGGGCTGTGAGAATTAAATGACATAATGCATGTACAGTTCTTAGCACATGAAGTGCTCCATAAACATATACTGGATTTCATCCTTTATTATCCTTATTGTTACCTTTTCCAGTTCAGACATTCCAACCCTGCCCGGTCCTTTCTGTTCCTGTCTCTGATGGGCATATCTGGGTCTGGACCTCTTCACGGGGTCTTCTCCTGCTGCGCAGTCAACATCCCATCTCTGTGTGGTGTCAGGGGCTGTCATGATTCCGGGTGTCTCTCAGCTGACGGAGAAGGACCTCAAATACCGGCTGCAGGCATCCAGGGCCAAGGCCATTATCACCAGTGACTCCCTGGCTCCGAGGGTCGATGCCATTATTGCTGACTGCCCTGCCCTTCAGACCAAGCTACTGGTGTCAGACAGTAGTCGGCCAGGCTGGATGAACTTCAGGGAACTCCTCCGGTAAGTAGGGGTGCTCCAGAGAACAGCACAAAGATGAGGCCAAGGTTTTTCCCCTTTAAGTAATAGGAGATGGAGTGTATTGCTGATTGACCAGGAAGAGAGTGCACCAGAAAGGAGCACTCAACTGTGGAGACCAGATGGACCTGAGACCTCATCCCAGTGTCCACCTTAAGATCCTTCAAAGTCACTCACTTAGGCAGTAAGAGAATTGTCATTAACTTTTCTGGGTGTCTTTTGCTTCTATACTGGTGCTAGTGGTTACAGAGCTGGTAGCCAGAGTAAACTAGATCACCCATATGCTGCATTTAGGACATAGTGGGTGGTCAATTAATAATATAATAATAGCTGCCATGCACTGAGTGCTTGTGTATGCTAGGCATTGTGCTCAGTAAGCATTTACCTACGTTCATTCATGCACCAAAGATGTACTGAACATCTATTTTGTGATGAGCATTGTGTTTGGTGCTCAGAGCACAATAATGAATCAGACATAGTCTTATTTAATACTTGGGGAAAATCGTAGGAAGTGCACTTTAACCCAATTTTACAGGTAAGGAAACTGACATGGGAAAAGTAAAGTGACTTATGTAAGATGCTGACAAGTAGTTTCATGAAGGTTGGGACAAGACAAAAAACCATCTGCCTTTGGGCAATGCCCTGGTGGAAGCCTACCTTGGCATTTGAGATTTTGTCCTGATCAGAGGCAGAACCAAAAAGGGGCCCTGTCAGAGGCCTGCACCGTTAAGTCACACATGCCCATTCCACAGACCAACAGCCTCACATTCTCCTGCATGTTATGTCACTTTATTTATTTCTTTTTTACTAATATCAACATTTGTCTCTTAGCAGTAGCTTTATTTGAAAAAGAACTATGTGCCACATTCACTTAAATGTGTTACTAATTTTTAGGATTATATAATAGACCCACAAGCATCCATTGTAAGTAATATATCTTATATGTTCCTAAATATTATTTTTCCAACATATGTCATTTTTTCAAATATATTTTTATGTTATATTTCAGTGTAATGATTATCAGTAGAAACTTCAACAGAAAATACTCAGCATGTGTAGGTAGTCAAGTACAAAAGATATATTTATAAGTTTGAGGACATGGTGGATAATCTTTAGATTGTTCTTGCCTATATTAGAATGCAAACTTTCTACTAAAAATTATGGAAAATTCTGTTTCTTTAAATTTTATTTATTTATTTGGCTGTTTATCTTTGGGTGCTGTTTTAAATTCAGATTCCCACATCTGACTTACTTAACCAGATATACCTGAGCAAAGACCCTAGGAATCTGTATTGTAAAAGATCTGCCCAGATGATTTTGATGAGCTGTCAGGTTGGCCTAGACCAGTGATTCTCAATTTTGCCTGTCATTAGAATTACCTGATGATCTTTAAAAAAAATATATGTACCAAAAAATAAAATCCCAAAGCCCCAAGTTCACCATCAGAGATTCTGTTTTTCTCTAAGGTGGAGCCTAGGCAAAGGTATTACTTCTAAAAACTTACAAAGTGCCCTTATGGTCCAGCCAGGATTGAGAACTGATGGATGAAAAGATTATCCAGATCATAGAACTTTAGGAATTACCCAGATCACAAATCCCTAAATCTAAGGATCCCTTCAGCCCTAAAGTACCTGGAATTGAGGTGAGGGTGGAGCTGTTCCTGAAATGTGCAGAGGTATAGACCAGAAATGTGCTTATTCCACCAGAAAGTCCGCATGCCCTGGTGGAAGAACACTGGCCCCGTTGAGTGAGTAGCTTCACCGGTTTTGAACATCATTTTCCTTATTTGCGCAGGGTTATAATGATAATACCTAGCCCATGATGTAATTGTAGGGCTCAAAGATAATGCAAGCTGGAGCCTTCAGCACGGTGCCTCACGTGTAGTATTTAATAATATGGTGGGCAGTATCATTGTTATAAATATCATTATTATTATGACTATTTTTATTACTTGTAATACCACCTAGAATTTTTATATTTTCCAGCAAGGCATCCAAAGAGCACAACTGTGTGAGGACCAAGAGTCAAGATCCACTGGCCATCTACTTCACAAGCGGCACTACCGGGGCCCCCAAGATGGTTGAGCACTCCCAGGCCAGCTATGGACTGGGTTTTGTTGCCAGTGGAAGGTACTAGGGGATGCTTATCTGGCCAAAGTAACAGAAAGTAGAAATGAGCCAAAGAAATGTAAGAGGCATATTGGCAAGATTGAGGTCATAGAGCTAAGATGGGGCACCTGGGTGGCTCAGTCAGTTGAACTTCTGATTCTTGGTTTAGGCTCAAGTCATGATCAACAGTTTGTGTGATCAAGTCCCACATTGGGCTCAGAACTAACAGTGTGGAGCCTGCTTGGGATTTTCTCTCTCCTTGTCTCTCTCTCTGCCTGTCCTCTGCTCATTCTCTCCGCCTCTCACAAAGTGGGAAATCAGGTAGAATCAGAAGGCCTTGGGCTTTACTTTGAGCGAGGTGACAAGCCATTAGAGATTTTTTGCTTTTGTTTTCAATTATGGTAAGAGATACATAACATAAAATCTACAATCTTAACCTTTTTAAGTGTAGACTTAGTGTCATTAAGGACATTCACATTATTGTACAGTCATCCCCACCATCCATCTCTGGAACTTTTCCATTTTGCAAATCTGAAGCTCTATGCCCATTTACACAATAATTCCCCATTCCCTCCCACCTCGACCATGACACACACTGTTCTACTTTCTGTCTTGATGCATTTGACTTACTCTGGGAACTACCTGTAAGTGGAATCATACAGCATTTTTCCTTTCATGTCTAACTCATTTCACTTAGCATCATGTCCTCAGGTTTCATCCATGTTGTAGCATGTGTCAGCCTTTCTTCATAAGGGTCATTAATGAATATTGCCAGATATGTAACATATCAGTGTTGTTTATCCAGTCACCCAAGGATGGATACTTGGGTTGCTTCCCCTTTTTGGCTGTTATCACTAGTGCTTTTATTAACATATGTATATAAGCATCTATTCAAAACTCTGCCTTTAATTCTTCTGGGTGTATATACCCATAAATGGAATTACATCATATGGTGATTCTCTGTTTAATTTTCTGAGGAACATTGGAGATTTTGAGCAGAGGAGTGACATGTTCTGATTTGGTTTTTTATTTTTAATTTTTTTTAACTGTTTTATTTATTTCTAGGAGAGAGAGAGAGACAGTGTGAGCAGGGGAGGGTCAGAGAGAGAGGGAGTCACAGACCGAAACAGGCTCCAGGCTCTGAGCTGACGGTCAGCACAGAGCCCGACGTGGGGCTCAAACCCACGAACCGTGAGATCATGACCTAAGCGAAAGTCGGACACTTAACCGACTAAGCCACCCAGGCGCCCCTTATTTTTTAATTTTTAATTTTTATTTTTTTTAAGTTTTTTTTTAATGTTTTATTTCTGAGAGATTGAGAGAGAGAGAGCAGGGGAGGGGCAGAGAGAGAGGGAGACCCAGAATCAGAAACAGGCTCTAGGGTCTGAGCAGGCTGTCAGCACAGAGCCCGACACGAGGCTCAAACCCACGAACCGTGAGACCATGACCTGAACCGAAGTCAGATGCTTCACTGACTGAGCCACCCAGGTGCCCCCTGACTTGGTTTTTTAAAGGATCTCTCAGGAGTTTGGGTTGAGAATAAATGGTAGTGGGCAAAGCATGAAGCAGAGGCCCATTTCAGAGGCCAGTGTATTAAGAGGCAAAGGTGGAGGCTTTCACAGGGGAAGTGAGAGGAGGCAAGATTTTGAATGTATTTTGAACATAGGCCTAATAAGATTTGCTGACAGGTTTATTGGGAAGTGAGAGAGATTGAGAAGGGTCAGGGGTGATGCCATATTTTATGGCCTGAAAATCAGAAGCAGTAACTGATAGTGGGAAGACTGTGTGTTGAACTGTTTAAATGGGAGGAACATGAGGGGTTGATTTTCTGCATCGTAACTTTGAGATGCTTAGTAGGTTTCTCCATACCCTGAGTTAAGAAAGGAGATACTGGGAGGTAGTTGGAGATACATGCATAGAGTCAGCGGGAAAGAGAAATCATGCTGGATTTATCAGCAAGTTGGTACTTAATGCCTTGAAATTGGAGGAGATCAGCAAAGAGTAATAGACCCTGAGAAGAGAAGAGGCCTGGGCTCTGAATACCTGAGGCATTCCTGCAGTGCAGTGGTAAGCAGGGAGAACTCAGAGGAGGAGACTGAGAAGGAGCAGCCAATGAGTAGATTGAGGACCAGGAAGACGGTGTGTCCCAGAATCAAAGCGCAGTACATGACCACTTGTGTATTTTCTATGCTCACAGGCACTGCCTTCCCTTCCTGGGATGTCCTTCCTTCTCTGCCTCCCCCGTGTAATTCCTATGCATCATTTACATCTCACTCAGCTCTTACCTCCTCTGGGGAAGCATTTCTCAGATTCCCTCTCCATCCTTTCTCTGGGTTAGGTGCCCATCCTCCATAATCGCACATGTGTAATGGCTCTCTGTTTAACTCTTTGAAAGCTTGCTCTCCAGCGGCTTCCTGGATGTTAAAACTTCCTGAACTGTAAGTTCCTCAAAGCAAGACTAATCATTCTTTGCTACACTGTAATGCCAAGTCCAGAATAAGTGCTGAATAAACTTTGACTGAATAAAGAAGTGCCCTCATCACACTGTACTGAGATTATGTGTTTCCTTTACAGATCCCTTCCACTAGACTGTGAATTCTGTTGTATGGGATCTGTCTCTTTAATTCTGTATCCTTCACCTACAGCATAAATACACAGAATATGCTCCATATTCTGTTGAGATAAAAAATGGCTTTATGGTTAGTGTACCAATTTGATAACTATAAGTGAGTTATTAGTGAGCCTTGGGCAAGGCTCCAAATAAGGTAACACTGATACTGTAATCCTTTTTAGAAGAAGAAGCATTGCTGAGGGTTCTGACTTTCTCTCATTTTTGGCAGGCGATGGGTGGACTTGACCCAATCAGACATCTTTTGGAATACATCAGACACGGGCTGGGTGAAGGCAGCTTGGACCCTCTTCTCTGCCTGGCCTCATGGATCTTGCATTTTTGTGCATGAACTGCCCCGAGTTGATGCCAAGCTTATTCTGAATGTAAGAAACAAAAACATGGCTTATGTGTTAAGTGTAAATGAGATGAGTGGAGTATAGGCATTGGGGATGCCTGGCTGGCTCAGTCAGTATAGCATGCAGCTCTTGATCTCAGGGTTGTGAGTTCAAGCACCACATTAGGTGTAGAGATTTTTTAAATAAATAAAACTTCTTAAGAAAAGGAGTATAGGTTTTGAATTTGCAGGAGGAAAGGCATAAGTGAACACAAGTCCTCTTTGGTGCTGATATTAAACAAAATGGCTCCCAGGACCTTCTGTAATCTGACTCCTGACCACGTGCCTACCTTCCGTTATTGCTTGTCTGTAACTAGATCCCTGGACAACACCATTTAATATCTCTAAACATTTGCATATTCTGTGTTTTCTGTATTGGGTGCCTCTCCCTCCACCACTTTCTTCCCTGTTCTCCTGTCAAAACCCTAGTTACTTTTAAAAACCTTGGGGAAATCCATAGTCTACTCCTCAATTCCATGTGCTATTATCCATGGTACTTAGTGTGAACATTTCACCCAGCACAAGTATCCTGATGACTCTTGCCCATTTTCCCTGGGTTTTCTCATAATTATTGACCCCAATGAAGACACAGGGCATCTTCCTTCTGCCCTATACATCCTAACCACTATTCATTCAAACATATGAGGGGCAATCTACCTGTGCTCTTTTCCTTGAGGTAAGCTGTGTCACCTGGTGGCTAATAGCACAGGCTGTGCCATCAGTCAGACCTGACCTCTGATCCTACATCTTCCATTTGCTAACTGTGTGTCCTTGGGCAAATTACCTAACTTCCTTCCTTCAGTTTCTTCATCTGTAAGAAAGAAAAGGATAATACAGTTCTATGGAGGATGAAACAATACTTGGCATTTGGCTTGGCACAGAGTGAGTTCTTAGCACATATTGATAATTATTGCCATTATCAAGCTCACTATCATCATTTTTCACTTAGGGCTTTATCAGCCAGTGTGCACCTTGTCCAACCTCTACTGCCTCTGGCCCTTACATAATGTTTTAGTTCTCTATTGTAATAAGTTACCCCTAAATTTAGCAGCTTAAAACAAACATTTATTATCTCACAGCTTCTGGTGGTCAGGAGTCTGGGAGCAGCCTGACAGCTGGTTCTGAATCAGGGCCTCTCATGAGGTTGTAGTCAAGCTGTCAGCTAGGTATATCCATGCTCGTAGCACTGTTATTCCTGATAGCCCATAAATGGAAGCCACCAAGTCTCACCGGCAGATAAATAAACAAGATGTGATACATGCATACAATGGAATATTATTCAGCCTTTAGAAAGAAGGAATGACGCTTGAGGCACCTGGGTGGCTCAATCAATTCAGCTTCTGACTGGCTCAGATCATGATCTCATGGTTCATGAGTTTAAGTCCTGCATTGGGCTCTGTGCTGACAGCTCAGAGCCTAGAGCTTGCTTCAGACGTTGTGTCTCATTCTCTCTCTGCACCTCCCCAGTGCGTACTGTCTCTTAAAAATAAACAAACATTAAAAAAAAAAAGAGGAAGGAATGACACATGTTATATCATGGATGAATCTTGAAGACATTGTATTAAGTGAAATAAGTCAGCCACAAAAGTATGAATACTGTATGGTTCATTTATACTTGTATCTAGAGTAGCTAAACTCATGGGGACAGAAAGTAGAATGGTCAGGACCTGGGGAAGAGGAGAAATGGGGCATTATTGTGTAATGGGTACAGAGTTTCAGTTTGGGAAGATTTTTAAAGTTCTGGAGATGGATGGTTGTGATGGTTGCACAACAGTGTGAATATATGTAATACTATTAGACTGTACATTTTAAAATGGTTAAAATGATAAATTTTATGTGATGTGTATGTTACCATAATAAGAAAAAAACATCTGCAATTACTGCAATTACCTTAAAACTTGACTGGGACTAGAGAATCTATTTTAAAACCCACTCATGTGGTTTTTAGAGGACTTTAGTTTCTCACTGGCTATTGACCAAAAGTTTCAGTTTCTGACTATATACACTGGAGTATACTCACAGCATGGTGGCCTGTTTTCCCAGAGCAAATGACTTAGGATGGGGAGAGAGAGGGATGCACCCAAAACAGAAGCTGTAGTATTTGTATAATCTAATCTCGAAAGTAGCATCTGTCACCTCTGCTGAACGCTGTTGGTCACATGGACCAAACTTGGTTCAACGTGGGAAGGGTCCGCACAAGAGTGCAAATAGCAGGAAGTGAAGCCATTGGAGCCACCTTGGAGGTTGGATGCCACATGTAGTTTTCAACTTCTCCGTTCTGGTAATGAGAGTATGAAGACCCAGTTCACCTGCTCCATCTCTACAAAGCCCCATTCTAGTACCTCTGATTTTTTGTTTAGACTCTCTCCAGTTTCCCAATCACCACCCTCTGCTGTGTTCCCACCATCTTCCGGCTGCTTGTACAGGAGGATCTGACCAGGTACAGCCCTAATGTTTGGTGCTTTGGGGACCTTTGTATGTGAATATACAGCAGTATATGTACACATGCACACCTACCGTCTCATACCACCTCTGGCTCTGTCTTGTCTCTGCCCTCTTTATTATCTCTGTCTCTGTCTCTGTCTCTCTCATATATATATATGTACACACATATACATATAAATGTGTATATATACACAGATATTTGTAAAATGTATATAGACACACACGTATATATACACATGTAAGTATATATATGTGCACAGATGTATATATATATATATATCACAGATATATGTGTGAACATTTATGTATACATACATTTATACATATATGTGTAAAAATATGTATACGTTTATATGCATATATACACACACACATCTGTGATTCTCTATGTATAGAATATATGTCTAGAATTTTATATAGTTCTGTGTTTCTCTGTCTCACACACACATACTCAAGCACATAAGCATCTATATCCTTTGCAGATGCCTCACATAAATGAAATTCTTGCCCATCCCCCACCCAGGAATTTGCATCCAGATGGAATTGGATAGATTTAAGATAGTCTGGAATTTTAGCACTTGAGATGGGCTGTCTATCCATCATATACCCATAGGCTATTCCCGCGGCTACTTCTGTGAGGTTGGAGAAATTATTGGATAATTGTTAGCCACCTGTAGAATGGGGTTTGTGGCCAGGGCCTTTACTGAGGTAGGACTAGCAAGCCTGCCACGATAGATGTTCCATCCCTCAGCCCCATTAACCCCATTCAGTTGCCCTCTGAGCGAATGCCTTGTGTATCCCACAGAAGGTGACTGTGTGCCTATGGCTCCCATCCTGGGTGAAGCCAAAGCAACATCTGCTGGCAGGACAAGTCTAGTGCCAGGGTATGTGGAGGGAGACCTGTTACCCTTCTTACTGACTCTGATCTGCCTCCTCTCTTCTCTCCCAAATCATGGGGAGCTGTTCCCACCCTTGCCACATCTTCCCTCATCCTGTGTATCTGTCCACAAAGCACCTAAGAGGGAACTCTTGCATGATTCTCCTGGGGACTTCTCTAATGTAAGAATTCATCCCATTCATTGACCCATTGTGTATATCTCTGTATCTTGATTTTAACAGAAAGCAGACTCTGAATGGTTTGTTCAGGAACAATTTGGTTGAAAGATACTAGGTAATACTAATTATTAGTCAAACCAAGTTGATGCAAAGGGGAAACAATAGTTGAAAATGTATTTGAAACCACTAGTTTTTCACATTTTGAATAATTTGTTAAATGGAGGGGTAGATTTGCAACATATTTAATATCTATAAGAATTTTTGGCCCATTCTTCTGAATTTTCAGAGTCCTAGAAGGTTACTTTCTACCTTTTAAATTTGTAATCAATTTACAACCAGATGGCTTTCCTAACCAATTTACTATCAGTTTGTTTTCAACAAAGTTATTTTGGCCAATTCACCATGTTATGCCAAAACCTGCTATATGAGGTTCTGATTTTCAGAATCAGACAGGATTGATTTTTTATAAGCTTATCTACCCATGAGGAACATGCCTGCAAAGCCAGAGAATAGGGTACTTGGAACAGATTATAAAGCCTTCATTGTACCTTCCAGTACCTTTAGATGTCTAGACCTGAGCAGCAGTACTGGAGGGTGAGGTGGGGGATAGGGGAATCCTGACATAGGTGGCCTTGTTTTCCAAATGAGAAAGGTACCAGTTTCAGAGCCTGAGGCACTGCTTGACGGGAGGAGAAGCCCTGAATCCTGACGTGAGAGAGAAATGGAAGAGCCAAGTGGGTCTGGAGCTGCACGAAGGCTATGGCCAGTCTGAAACAGTGAGTGCTGCTGGAGCCTGGCTTCCTGCCACAGGTCACCTCCACCGGGGCCCTCAGCCACTAGATGGAGATGGCCGACCCACCGAGCCTCCTGCTTTCCAGATACCTGACAGGGACTCCCCTGCCCACTGGGAGAAGCTGATAACAAAATCCCATTATCTTTTCTTCCTTTTTGTTTAAAGACAATTTAAAGTGACTTCACAATGACACCACAGCCAGCAAACCAACTCTCATGGCCAAGGGTGCTGTTTGTGTCCACTAGGACAGCCTACCTCTGTTTCTGGTCAGCGCCCGGGATCTTAGACAGTATTCCCCACAGCCACCTGGGCAGCAGAGATTGGTGGTCAATTGAGTCTTTTGGCTTAGCGACACATTTGATTCTTTATGTGTGAGTGCCCAGTAGCCATTCAATAAATCTTTGTTGACTATGGAAAGGATAGAAGGATGGAAGGGATGAGGAAGAGACAGAAAGGAAGACAGGGAGGAATAGGAGAGAGGGGAGAAGAGTTAGAAGGCAAAATAGGAGAAAAGATGGGTACCAGGAAGGAAGCTAAGGGAATAAGTCTCCTCCTTATTGATACTACTTTCTCTCCAGGTTGTAATCTGTGCCAATCCAAAAGGCATGAAAATCAAATCTGGATCCATGGGGAAAGCGTCCCCACCTTACGATGTGCAGGTAGGCAGCTTCCCATAACTGTTGTTGAGGCGTGGTTCAACGAGGAGAACAAAATGCATGTTCTGGGTTAGCGACAGCAGGCTTAGCTGGCAGAGTGGCCCTGCTGTGCAGATATCCAGACACTGCCTTATGATCTCTCTGCCAGATTGTGGATGATGAGGGCAACATCCTGCCTCCGGGAGAAGAGGGAAATGTTGCTGTCCGAGTCAGGCCCACCCGGCCCTTCTGTTTCTTCAGTTGCTATTTGGTAAGTGGCAGGGAATCACCATTTTCACAATGATTTCTATGTGCCGAGCATTGTGTTCCAAGATTTATCAACACCTGTTTGTTTAACCCTTGCAATAACTGCATGAGGTAGGTTGGTATTATTATTAAGAGGTTAGAATGATAAAGTGGCATCTTTAATTTCAAGCAACTAGCATGTGCAGGACATGGATTTGAACATGGGTATGTCTGAGAGTGTAAATTTATAACACTGGGGAGACCCCATAATTTCAATGATGAGAAAATTGTGGTTCAAGAAAAAGGAAGGGACTTCCCAAGAGTCAAACTGCAATTTGTGTCAAGAGCCTAATTTTCAGGATTCTTTTTGTCTTGAGTCTTGTGTAGACAGGGGTTTGCAGGCAGGGCTTGTGCCTAAGAATTCTAGTCTAAGTTTCTATGATAATCCAGTAATTACCTCTCCCTTGTGCCCACTTTTGTTGGTGTTTGTTACGGGCTTTCTTTTTGCCAGACTCTTCTCTATAAAGCTCTGTTGACATGGTTCTCAACCTTGGCTGCACATTAGAAACACCTTGGAAGCTTCAAAACACTATTGATACCCAAGCCCCACTCAGTGAGATCAAACTTTTTGAGGATGTAGATCAGCTCCCCTCGTGATTCAAATGTGCAGCCAAGGTTGAGAACCATGGCTTTATTAGGAATTCCATCTGGGGTGTATGCAAAGCCATCAGTCAGCTATAACACTGGAAGGAACAGATAAAAATCAGTCCATTTGTTTTTAGAGTGGTGTATATGTATTTTAGTGGCTTTTCTGTGACTACAAGAGAAATAGTCTTTGGTGGTATTTCATTTAAAATCACAGAAACTTACCTACCAGAATAAATTTTTAAAAAGCCCCCAAACAATAAAATAGTAATACACGAAACAGAGATAATTTAAATTTTTAATGTATTTCTCTAATCGTTTTTGTAAGCAATAGCAAATCCTTGACTTTTCTGAATAATTTATTCATTCATTATTTATTGCATGGCTACTTCATGCCACTAAATATCCAACAGTGGGCAGGAAAGACAAGACCCTGGTCCTCACAGAGCTCACATGCAGGACCTTTTTGGGTCTGTGATCATCCCATTGAGAGAGTCAAGTAATTTGTAAAGTTACTTGCTGCCTAAGAATCTTTACCTTTTTCAACTTTTTCTTTCTAGCACCAACTGTTAGTTTTCTTCTTGAGTCCTTTTTAACTAAGGAAGAAAAAGTTAAATCTCAGAAAGAAGTGGTCTGTCATGTCAGCTTGGTCAGAAATAAAAGTTTGATATATCGATAGCTAAGTTTTAGCAGATTCATCTATTTAATTGGTCGTTTGTTTCATCCCTGTGCTGATACCATAGAGCCTTATCCAGGAAAACATTTCCAAAGTCTTACTATCTAGTAGAGTAAAGCTCTCTTTCTTCTTCAGCTTCTTTAGACATGTTTTACCTACTCTTAGCTCTTTGCTCTCTCATATACATTGTAGAACCAACTTGTCAAATTCCATGGGAAATGTTTGTTAGTTTCTAATGTATGTCATTACAGCTCTAGATCAATTTGGGAGAGAACATATTTATGAAATTCAGTCTTTCTGTCTTTCCATTTACTTATATATCTTCTTTAACGTTCTGTAGTTTTTTTCTCCATATACTTCTTTCAGGTTTTGTGTGAGATTTATTTTTAGGTATTGACAGTTTAGCTTTATTCTTTATTTTCAGAATGCTCTGTTTAAATTGAGGCATAATTTACATACAGTAAAATGTATGTAATCTATGTTATGTGTACAGGTCAATAACTTTTGACAAATGTATACACTTATGTAACTACCACCACAATCAAGATATAGAACATTTTTATCACCCCAGAAAATTCCCTTTGCCCTTTTGCAGTCAGTTCCCAAGCCATAGGCAATTGCTAAATTATTTGTTGCTAATAGAATAATTTTGCCTATCTTTTTAAAATTTTCTTTTTTACTGTTTATTTATTTTTGTGAAAGAGTGTGAGCAGGGGAGAGGCAGAGAGAGAGAGGGAGGCACAGAATCTAAAGCAGGCTCCAGGCCCTGAGCTGTCAGTGCAGAACTCGATGCGGGGCCCAAACCCATATGTCATGAGATCATAACCTAGGCAGAAGTCGAATGCTTAACCGACTGAGCCACCTAAGCGCCTTGCCCTTTTTTTTTTTTTTTTTTTTTGAAGAACTGTATATCATTGGAATCATAAAGTACTAATTTTTGTGTGTCTGGTTCCTTTCACTCAGCATAATGTTTTTGAGATTTATCTAGATAGTTGCATACAACAGTAATTTGTTTATTTTCTTGTTGAGTAGTAGCTTCTTTAAATCTTTGAAAATCAGAGTTTGATTTTTAGTTTTCCTTTTTCCTCTACCCTTGCTTTTTGGCCACACCGTCACTTTGTACCTTCAGTAATTCCTGAGTACAAAGAGTGTTCTTTTATCCAAAAAACCAAAACCAACAACAAAACAGATCAACACAAACAAACAAAAAAACCCCAGAGCCAGTGACCCTTTGACCACCCTCCTGTGTTCCAACTATACTACCTTGGACCCTATTAAAAATGGTAGTGAGGGGCTGTCCTTAATCATTTCCTGACATTTCCCTTCCATTTAAAAGAGAGAAAATACACACATTTCATAGCTCCTTGTCCAGTGGTAAATTCTGGCCAACTTGGTCTTTGGGAACTTCTAGACTTCCTTTTAGGAGTCCCTGCTCTCCAGCATGGGGCTGCTAAGGCCATAACTGGCTTTAGTGGCTGTGCTGAGATGGTCCTTCACAGACTTATTTTGTCTTCCAGGACAATCCTGAGAAGACAGAGGCTTCAGAACGAGGGGACTTTTACATCACAGGGGACCGAGCCCACAGGGACAAGGATGGCTACTTTTGGTTCCTGGGAAGAAATGATGATGTGATCAATTCCTCAAGGTAAAGCTGTCTACCCTTTCCATCTCTCTTTGAAGGTTGGTGCGGGCGGGTGGGTTACTTGGAAGAGTTTGCTTTTCTCTTCCAGCTACCGGATTGGGCCTGTTGAAGTGGAAAGTGCCCTTGCCGAGCACCCAGCTGTTCTGGAGGCTGCTGTGGTCAGCAGCCCGGACCCCATCAGAGGGGAGGTAACTAGTCCATCCAAGAACATTTCCTCCTGGTTCTGTACCTGTTAGCACCCAGCAGAGTAAGAGAGAAGTTCCCCCATATCTCCCCTGCCAACTCCAGATATTACAAAGTCTGAAATGCCACCATCAGGCACATATTCTTTTTGGCTAAGTATTACCCTCATGTCTTTAGAGACATACTCTCAGGCAGACCTATGTGTTTTTCACTGGCTGTAAATCCAACATAGTCCTACAGTATCGTGTAATTACCTTATGAAAGTTAGTGCAAAATCAGCCTCTGTTCTTAGAAGCATCAGGGCCAGAAGAGTGATTCTCGTCTGGGCCCTAGACTAGTCACAGCTGCATCATTTTGTTTAAAATTTAAATTTCTATGGGGTGCCTGGATAGCTCAGTCAGTTAAGAATCCAAGTTCAGCTCAAGTCATGATCTGGTGGTCTGTAAGTTCAAGTCCCACGTCAGCCTCTGTGCTGCTTCAGATTTTGTGTCTTACTCCCTCCCTGCCCCTCTCCCACTCATGCTTTGTCTTTCTATCCCTCTCAAAAGTAAATAAACATTAAAAATGTTTAATACAAATTTTTAAACCTCAAGTCAGTCTTGCTGAATCAGAGTGATTGGGGATGCAGCCCAAGGCATCTTCATTTTAACCAGAAGCCCCTATCCAGGTAATCCTGAAGCCCATTAATCTTTGAGGCCTGGGGCACCGGGGTGGCTCAGTTGGTTAAGCATCTGACTTCTGATTTCAGCTCAGGTCATGATCTCATGGTTCATGAGATTGGCCAGAGTCGGCCCCTGTGCTGTCAGCACAGAGCCTACTTGGGATTCTCTGTCTCCATCTCTCTCTGCCCCTCCCCCATCTTAAATTATATTAATTAACATAAAAAAACCTTTGAAGCCATTAATTTAGAATAAGGAGGTCGGAGTCCTATGTATGTATTAGAGAAATCATACCTGGAAAAGTAAATCTAATTTTGTATGCCACAAATTAACTGGGGTTTTGACAAATGGCTGTGTGCACAGTTAATCCTCATATAGTACTCAGAACAGGCTGACATTTAGAAAGTACTCAATAAATGGTGGCTTTAACAGTCAGAGAAAGCCCTTCCTAATAACCAGATGTTTGAACGTGAAATGGTAGTGAGATACCTGCCTTTGGGAAGTATGCAAGGAAGGTGAACTTACCACCTAACGTTGTTGACTGAGCTATATGCTGGGGTGGATAAGCAACCTACTGGCCTTTGAACTCTTCCATTCCTGTCAGAAACCATGTCCCGTTGTGCCTGAATTCAGGGCTTCTCCTCCTTGGCAGGAAGAAGCCTGCAAAGAAAGACTCAGGCAGAAACAACTGAGGTGCATTTTGTCCCTGGCATGGAAGCTGTGCAGGAAAACCTTTGCTGATTGCAAACAGTCACATATGCAGGCTCAAAAAGACCTACCTCCCCTTGGGAATGGTCAGCATTTTCCCCATTCCCGCCCCTCTGAGCCATTGCCTTTCCAGGCAGGTTACCTTTCCAGTCAGGAAGACCTGGAAGTAATGGACCCCAAGGAGTTTGTGAAGCTCTTCACTCCAAAGTATTTCTATTGAAAGGGAAGTGCATTGACTGCTAATGGTGTCGTTTCAGGAAAGGAGAGCAGTTTGGGCAATAGGTAGGATCCTGGAATCATTCCACAAAAGCCAGTGCTTCCAATAGTTGTTCCTGGAAAGGAGGCAACAGGGGAAAAAAAAATGGTGTCATCCATGTTGCTGGCTGACTTCAAGGAGCTGGTAGGATTTTCATGCTGGGCTGGCAAGGCTAGGTTAGGAGAAAAGAGTTGGTATACAGGGCCTGATTCTTTGTGGTTTGGGGGGGTTTTGTGTTGTTTTGTTTTGTTTCTGCCAGGTAGTGAAGGCCTTTATAGTCCTTTCTCCAACTTACTCCTCTCAAGATCCAGAGAAACTAACTCATGAGCTCCAAAAGCACGTGAAGAGGGTGACTGCTCCTTACAAGTACCCCAGGAAGGTAAACATCAGGGGTTCTAGGACATGACGACCTGGGAAATCACCTGAGTGCACACTATGTGGGCTCTCTCAGGGTCAGGTGCTGGGGGATGAAGATACAAATAACTCTAGATGCTGCTTCAGCCTTTTCTCCCTGTTTCTGCACTGGGCTCACCTCAAACCACATTTTGTTCCTACCCTAAAAAGTGGCATAAACCAGATTTGGGGGGGATGGTGCTGAATCGCTGCTAGCAAGGTCATAAGCCCCAGGCCCTAGCCATTTTGGTCTTTGCCATTTGGAGAAAACTATGAATCATGGAGATTTTCCAGTGAAGTGGCAGAAGGTCTTTCTGGGAAATAATGATTTCAAAATGTTTTTGTTTTATGTCTACTAGGTGGCCTTTGTTTCAGAACTGCCCAAGACGGTTTCTGGGAAGATCCAAAGAAGTAAATTGAGAAGCCAAGAGTGGAAGGAGACAAGAGGCAGCCCCCTAAATGTCCCATAGGCCTCTGAAGCTTCTAAGAGGAACTGGTGCGATCACTGGTTAGTCCTTCCACCTTACAACATCAGAGGCTTTCCGTCCAAATGGGCATCTCCAAAATCATTGGAGGACCCTGGAAGGAGAGCAGAAGAACATCACTAACTCAGAGTGCACATCCACTGACAGTCTACATTCTAGACTGGCACATTCTATTTGATGGCTTTACTTCCCCTTCCTCTGTCTGAAGACATTCTCAGCAGCTGCCCACTGGTCTTACTGCCATCTGGCTCTCTGAAGGACAGGTCATCACAGAGTCAGGGCACCTGTGATCTCATTCACTGCCCGTGGGAGTATAACCACTCGATGCTTTTGATAAATCCATTTTGTAATTATATCCAGGGCCGTGAAAAGTTCATCACATCCTTTAGCTCAGAAATTCTGTCTTTGGCAATCACTACAAAAGAAAGGAATAAGGGGGGCCTGGGTGGCTCAGTTAAGCATCCAACTCTTGGTTTCACTAGGTCATGATCTCACTATTCATGAGATAGAGACCCGTGCTGGGCTCTGCGCTGACTGCTCAAAGCCCACTTTGTTGATTGTTGCCTTCACTGTGTAGAAACTTTTAATTTTTATTTATTTATTATTTTTTTAATGTTTGTTTATTTTTGATAGAGATGTAGCATGAGTGGGGAAGGGGGAGAGGGAGACACACACACACAGAATCCAAGGCAGGCTCCAGACTCTGAGCTGTCAACACAGAGCTTGATGCAGGGCTCGAACTCCTGAACCATAAGATCATGACCTGACCCAGAGTTGGACACTTAACCCACTGAGCCACCCAGGTACCCCAGAAGCCTTTTAATTTGATGAAGTCCCAGTAGTTTATTTTTGCTTTTGTTTTCTTTGCCTCTAGAGACATATCTAGAAAAAAGTTTCTGTGGCCAGTGTAAAGAAATTACTGCCTGTGTTCTCTTCTAGGATATTTGTGGTTTCACGTCTCACATTTAGGTCTTTAATCCATTTTGAATTTCTTTTTGTGCATGCTGTGAGAAAATAGTATCTTTGTTCACCCACTTAACTTCTCCCTGGCTGGGGGGCTCAACTCTACTGAGGCTTAGCTCTTAAGTCATTTATTTGAAAAGCTTTCTCTGATGTTAAGGATCTTTTGGGGGGTATCCCAGGACACCCCCTAACAATATAGTGCAGAAATAATAGAGATAGTGAGTGGGCTGGGCTTGATGGTCTTCAGTCAGACAATGGGTGTGTAGATTTTTTCCTCTTGCTCCTGATACCCAGACCCACTATGTCCACCCTCTCTGCCTCACCCTAAGGACTGTATATACCCCGGGACAGATTCTTTATCTTTTTATTCCTTCTCACACATCATTTTCAGGCACTAAAATGTTTAGTCTAACAATCTAAATCTAAACTTAACCAGCTTAAAGCTGCTCCTACTTCTGCAGCCCAGCCTTACCCAGGGTGCGTGTGGTGTTTTTTCTTACTTCTGCAATCTTTGTTTTTCTTCATAGACATTATTCATTCACAGTAATGTTTACTGAGAACCTACTGTGTGCTACATACTGTTATAAGTTCTCAAGCTAAATCACCTCCAAAACAGGCAAAGATTTCTTCCCTCATACACTTTAGATTCTAATGGAAGGAGACAGAGGCAAAAAAATATGCATAAGTAAATTCTTTAACATGTTAGGAAGTATTGAGTACTAAGGAAAAAGTAGTCCCGCATAAAGGGGATGGAAGGTGGAACCATTTTGGAGGTGGATTACCATTTGGAGTAGGTGATGAAGGTAAGCTTCACTGAGAAGGTAAGGAAAATATGTGTCAAAGATTTGAAGGAGGAGAAGGGGTTATCCATAGACATGTGGGGGAAAGTGGTCTGAAAAGAAACAGCAAAGTCAATGGTCCTGGCAGGGTGTGCCAGTGGATCTGAATGGGCAGTGAGTATGTGGTAAATGGGCAGGACATCAAACCACAGAGGACAGAAATGTGAGTGAAAGCCATGCAGGAACTTGGATAATGTGGTAAATACTTGGAAGTTTCTTTTGCATGAAATTGGGATTCAGTGGTGGGCACTGAGCAGAGCTGTGACATGATTTGACCTCTGACCACCCTTAACAGAATCTAAAATGAACTGAATCATTTTCCGTACTTTTAGCTGTCTTGACTCCAAACTGGAAGAGATCTCTCTTAATCATCTTTGTGTCCATCTGAGGGAAGCAGTCAATAAATATTTTTTGACTAATAGCCAAACCAGATATTTCCAGGGGGGAACTGTATTCCATGGCTTATCTAGAGGAACCTGCCTCAGAACATCCCAACCACACAGGTCTGGGGGTTCTCTCGCCCCTTTTTCAGGGAAGAAGAATTACTTTTTCCTGAATTTCCTTCTATTTGTGAGGCCTCAACTGCTGTTCCAGGACCACAACCCTCACTCCCCAGATCTCTTGCATCCAGGTGATCAACAAGAAAGATCAATCACTCCCAAACCCTCTCTGTCCATGCAGGTGTGTGAATTCGAGTCCAAAGACTATTCTCCAAGTCTCCCATTCTATTCTAGTTTTGCTATAATTTACAGTTTCCTATATGAGAATCTATTTTTTAAGAAAAACTTTTACTTGTTTACTCTTTGAAAAAGGAAATGTAGCTGGTATGAAGGGATGCAAGAGCACCTGGCTCTGGGGTCCCAAGCAGAGCAGATTTGGCCACTCAGCACTGACAAAATTCAAAGGCAGAGAGGCAAGTGGTGACAAATAAGAAAGGAATGTATTTCAGTGAGGTCAACATGGGGAAGACAGCAGACTAGCATCTCAGACACTGTCTCCAAAGTGTTGAAAATATTTCCAGGCTTTTGTAAGGAAAATATAGGACAAAGCTTGGTGAGTATAGGCAGCAGGGCAGTAAAGGTCAGGTGGGGTCTTTGCCTTGGGGTCAGTCCCCCAGGTCTTGCTAAATCAGAGCAGTCATTTTTGCTTGAGGCAGTAGTTTCATTTCTTGCAAGGGACGCTTTGTCCACAGGGTCATTAACCTGAGTTAGGTAACTTTGAAAGAAGTTTATCAGTTAGCAAGTACAGAGGGTCAAAGTGGAGATGGTTGAAGTCCTCTTTCATAAATAAAACTTTAATTTGAATGAATTAATAAAAAAGCTCACTTGGACCCATTTTGAAGTCAAACTAGCTTCCCTCTCCAGGAGAACTGAGGTAACCAGTTTATAGTGCTCCCTACCAGAGGTATTCTAAATATTTTATTGTGGCCAGGTGCTTGATATGCACTAAAAGTTCAATCCTCACTCATCTAAATGGTTTTCTAGGACTATCCCTCATTTACAAATGAGAATGAGACATGGGCAAGAGTAACAGCTTCTTCAAAAGCACACAATGCAGTGGGAGTGGAAGCCAAATTCAAATCCAGACAGACTCAGGTCCTCAGTCCTTAACCATATATAGCTCCTCTATATGTATTGTTCCTATATAGCTGAGCTTTACCGTCATGGATTAATGTTCCTAACCACTGGGGCTGAAGAACCAGAGGGAAGAGGAGGTAACTGGTGCGGGACAAAGCACAAATCCAGACTTCAGAAGACAGATGTTTAATCCAGACTTTAGAAGAGAGATGTATAAGGCAGGGAGAGTAGCAGGGAGCAGGAATGGATTTTTTCTTCGACTTTGTGTTACTGATCCCAAACTATGATATGGAAACCCCTGAGGTTCCTGGGACTCTTTCAGGGTAATCTGTGAAATTAAAACTATTTCAAAATAAAACTAAGACAAACTGGAATCCTTGTGCACACTGGTGGGTATGTAAAAGGCAAAGTAGGGGTGCCTGGGTGGCTCAGTCGGTTAAGCGTCCAACTTCGGCTCAGGTCATGATGTCATGTTCGTGGGTTCAAGCCCCATGTCTGTCTCTGTGCTGACAGCCAGCTCAGAGCCTGGAGCCTGTTTCAGATTCTGTGTCTGCCTCTCTCTCTGACCCTCCCCTGCTTACGCTGACTCTCTCTCTCAGAAATAAATAAAATATTTTTTTAAAAAGGCAAAGCTTCTATGAAAAACACTATGGCAGCTCCTCAAAACTATTTAAAATAGAATAACTATATGGGACACCCATGTGGCTCAGTCCGTTATGCATCTGACTCTTGATATTAGCTCAGGTCATGATCCCAGGGTCATAAGATCAAGCCCCACATTGAGCTCTGCACTGGGCGTGGAATCGGCATGAGAATCTGTCTCTCCCACTCCCTCGGCCCCTCTCCCAACCTGTGCACTCACTGTCTCTCTGCCTCTCTAAGAAAAATTAATTAATTAAATCAAATAGAATTACTAGCAGTTTCACTCTTGGGTATATACGCCAAAGAATGAAAAGCAGAGTCTTGCTTAGGAAACTCAGCAACTCTATCAAACATAATAACATTTGTATCATAGGAGTCTCAGAAAAAGAAGAGAGAGAAAAGGGGGCAGAAAATTTGTGTGAGGATATCATAGCTGAGAACTTCCCTATTCTGGAGAAGGAACAGACATCCAAATCCAGGAGGCACAAACTCTGATCAAAATAAACAAATGCAGCCCAACACCAAGACATATTGTAATTAATTTTGCAAAATATAGTGATAAAGGAAAAATCCTAGAAGCAGTAAGACAAAAGAGTCCCTAACTTATAAGGGAAGACCCATAAGGCTAGCTGCAGATCTCTCAAAAGAAACTTGGTAAGCCAGAAGAGACTGACATGATATATTTAATGTCTTGAATTGGAAAAATCTGCAGTCAAGAATTCTCTATCCAGCAAGGTTATTCAGAATAGAGGGAGAAATCAAAAGTTTCCCAGATGAACAAAATCTAAAGGATTTCATGACCACAAACCCAGCCCTGAAAGAATTACTAAAGGGGGATTCTTTGAGTGGAAAGGAAAGATCAGAGAAGACAAAGACAAGAAAGGAACAGAGAAAATCTCTGGAAAAAAAGCAGGTAATTAAATGGCAATAAGTATATATCAACCAGTAATTACTGTGGATATAAATGAACTAAGTGCCCCAATCAAAGGACATAGTC